TGGCAAATCTTATCCACTTCTTTGCTAGATTTCTATAATGCGGTGAGATGGTTGAATAACTGTAGTGATATTTGCGTCTTAACACAAAACGACATGACCCTTCCACTAGAACTTGACACATCATATCAAATGTATGACAAACACTACCAAAAATTTATTTGGAGGGAATTTAGTTTTTTTTTTACCTATACATGGAAAAATTAATGGGAAAATTTATTGTTAATATCATAAAAATATTATAAAATAAATGCATTCGGCATCAATTCAAATTATATCACTAACTATGCAAATAAACAGATCTATGTCTACAACAATCATGATAAATCTCTCTCATTTCATCTTGAAATAATACCACCATGATTGCAAAAATACAGCAATCGAGGACACTAATCCTTATGAACAAAAATCTGTCTTTAACCAAATTTTTGTTTTTCTTTTAAATTAATACATGCAACTAAAATATGAATGAGCATCAAGAACTCATTAAATTACACAATCTATCCTAAAATTTTAATGTATAGTAGAAAAATATTGTAGATGCTAATTTGTTACCACATTATGAGCATTAAAGTGATTTAATATTAATGTAATTATATTATGAGGCTCAATGCATTTGGCATTATTATCGATTAAATTAAATCCGATATGTCACTATAAAATCTTGAATTTAAATTTTTTCACAAAATTTAGTATTACATACACATTTGAATGTAAAAGCTATATTATTATAAGATAATTGAAATATATATCAAATTAAAATACTTCATATCAATCTTTTTCTTTGAACCTTCCAATTATTTCTCTTACATCACCAGAATTTTATGCCTAAAGTGTTGAATGCTCTTTATTGTGGTGAATAGATGCATTACAAATCATACTTAAATTGAATAAATAAAAGAGTTGAATACAATAAGTTAATTTCATTCTAATAAATATTCAATGTAATAATATCAGTAACCTAAGACAATCGTATTTTTTTTCTATAATTAACGAAAACTTAGTATTCGTTGAGAGTATACTTTATGAGATGTGTTAGAGTAGATTGTTAATTAAACAGGCATCTGTGGATGTAAAGTCAACAAAAAAAGCATTCAAGGGCATTATAGAAATTTTTATGCATAGAGCTATATCTGTGATATTACAACATCGCTGCAAGTAGAATTTGATAAATTCTAAACTTTAACATTAATTAAATACTTAATTGTTACTATTTACTAAACTAATTACACATTAAATATAATTTTATCTAGTTTATTAAATATTCTTCAATATTTTTTTTATTAATTAATGAAGAATTAGTTAATCATCAATATTATATTCATCATAATTAAATTTAATTAAGTGGAATCAAGTAGAAATAACATATCAATTTATTATGAATTATTAACTAATTAAATTAATTAAAATTACTTAAAAAAAATTAATGAAAATTTCATATAAATCGTAGAATTTTGTATTTGGATTCCCAATATCAAAATTATTTGTTTAGATTTTTATAATTTGGTATCATAAAATTAAAATTATATATGAAAAGTTTTTTACTTTTAAATTGAATTAATAATAATAATATTTAAGGTGATATTAAAAATTTCGACGTCATGCAACTAAATATTAAATTTTCGGAATATACAAAATTTTGTTATATGTATGTACCAAAATTATATGAAATGCCTATTTGTCCGCTACTGTTCGAAACCCTAGTATCCATCTACTCCGTGAATTCCTGCCCGAAATGCCTATTTGTCCGCTACTGTTCGAAACCCTAGTTTCCATCTACTCCGTGAATTCCTGTCCGAAACCCTCGCCGGGTTCCCCTTCACCTTCCCCTTCTGCCCGAAATCCTTGCGATATACGAAGCTCTTTGAGACTTCCGTTTTTCTCCCCCATCCGCTCATACTCGAAAGCTGGTAAGCCTCGTTTTCCTCCCAAACCCTTTCGTGAAAATCCTTTAAATTCTCCTTCCAACAGGATTCGCTAAATCCTGGATTTAAGGAAAAGCGGAGGAGAAACGGGATTTCATGTTCTGCAAGAAGTAAAGTTCTCATTATTTTTGCTGTTTGGCTGGATTTAGGTTAAATCCTTCTATACAATCAGGCACGCGAGGTTAGCATTTATGTATTGTGCCCGTTAAAGAGGCGGACATATCTGAATGAAACTTTTCATACTTGGATTCAGCACCTGTTCTTGAATTTCTGCTATTAGTTAATAGGCGCTTGGAATTTTTGTTTTTTTTTTGCATTCTCCATGTTCGTGTACTTGTTTGCATTTCAAACACCAGATCACTCCAGCATTAGTGGACAGCTTGAATCAGATATCCAAACTACGGGGGTGTTTGGTAGCGAGTTTTAAAAGGATTTATCACCGGCGGTGTTTGGTAGAACCTTTTAAAAGGATCAATCCAGCCAAATGCTAAAATTCAGGAGCTCCATTGATTTATGAATTTTCTGATATAGGCTCTCAAACTCTACCTTTGATTTGGCTAAAATTCTGATTTACTAAATGTAGGGCTAGGGCGGTTCAAAAGAATTTACGATTCATGGATTTGCTGAATCCTAGTAATGCTAAATACTGCATCCGCTGTATGTTGCACTAGAAATGCTAAAATTATTTCTTCCTGCATGTTCTTTTCCGTTTGATTATTCTATATCTTTTATAATTAATAGGCAATTTTTCTGTCTTTATTGTCTTCTTGACTCCCTCATCTAAAGCTCTTAAAGTATTCCAATACTTGGATTTTGGCATGTCACTCATTATTGTCTTCCTTTAATTCTGTTAATCTCTGATAGAACAGTAATGGGTGGTGGAAATGATGACACTTCTGAGAAGGGTTTTTTCTCAAACCTGTCACATGCCTTTGGTTCAGGATATCCATATCCCACACAAAGTCCACAACAAGGATACCCTTCCGCACCTCCAGCTTATTCACCTCAAGGGTACCCGGCAGCACCTCCAGCATATCCATCTCAAGGGTACCCTTCAGCACCTGGAGCTTATTCACCTCAAGTGTACCCTTCAGCACCTGGAGCATACCCTCCACATGGTTACCCTTCTCAAGGTTATCCTCCACATGGATACCCACCATCATCAGGACATCAGCCCCATGGCGTATACCCTCCGGCTGGTTATCCTGGTCCTTCTTCTCATGGTATGAATTTTCATTGCTGCTTATGTTTGAGTAATTTTTTTTGTTTAGCAAATAATTACATGGGATTACCTATATTTTTCTGACAATGTGGTGCGTTCATTTCAATAAAACTCTGTTAATTTACCATTACATCAACTTTCATGAACCAAAGAGGTCTCAATAAGCCTGATTGATTTTCATTTTTCGCACATGTCTGTTATGGTGTTACTAATTTCCATGCATTCCACACAATTCTTATATATTTACATATCTAACACAAAAGTTTTATTATTTACATGCATAGCTCAAATCATTAATATCACATAAAAGATACTACTATTACCTATTTTTTTAAAGTAAAATATATATTTTGATGCATAGGTTTATGGTGCCATAGTGTTATAAAAATAAATATGAAAGTTTAGTTGTTAGATATTTAAATAAATAATAATTTTGAGAAATGTAAATTTCCATTTTTTTATTTTATTTTCCTGGCTACCATGTCTGTTTATTAATGTAAAGTGATTTAACTCTTCTAGTTTCTCTTTGGTTTTAAAATAACCATCCTTTGTTCCAGCTCTGACTCTTCACCCCCAGAGAAGTTTTTTGCTCGTTCTGTCCTTTTTCTCTCTTCCTTCCTATTAAGATTTTTTTTATCTTTAATCCACAATTTCATCTTTATTCTCAATTTTTTGTAATATTCTACTAAATTATCTCTTCCTCCATATACAACCACCTCTTGCACTATGATGTCATCTGCTGTCCCATAAACCTATACCGCATGGCCTCCTCAGATGTATCCTTTTGTAAACAGTTTTTTTTTTTCTACATTTTATCTCTAAAACTGCTTGAAAGCATTCCCCCTTCCACCTCAAATCTCATTGTTCTTTGCCCCTAAAGTTTTAGTGGCATTTACATACATAGTGCGATGTATCTACATATCTTACACCTATACTTTCATATTTACACTCATAACACTCAAAATATTTAATATCGCATCTTAATATCACATCAACAATATTATTATTACCACTTTATAAAAGATAAATACACCTTTTCTTGCATAGGTTTAAAGCAAAGTGCCATATATGTAAATATGAAAGTTTAGATGTGAGATATGTAAATACATAAGAATTTTGTGCTACACATGTACATCTTCGAAAATTTTAAAATCCATATGATAATATATTGCTCGGAAAATCTGTCTTTTAGGCCATGGGTCTAGCATGGGATCGTTATTAGCAGGTGGCCCGCCACTGCGTATGGTCTTCATCAGCTTGCTCATCATCATCATGGCCACATGGCCTACCATGGATTCGGACACCATGGTAAGTTCAGGCATGGAAAGTTTAAGCATGGAAAATTTGGCAAGCATATGATGTTTGGAGGAAAGCACAGAATGTTTGGAGGCAAGTTCAAAAAGTGGAAGTGATTGGGATATTTATAATTAATGCCTTATTTAGCAATAAATAAAGTTTACTACTACAGTTTGGGTGCTTTATCAATTACATTGTTAAAGGCTGTTCTATCTTTGTCACAAGCCAAAAGCTTTTTCTACACTAACAATAGTTTCCAGTGCCATATTTGTGTGATTTGTACTAATTTGTTTTAATGCACATATCTATTGACAAAAATGGACAGATTTGTGTGTTTTAAATAATCTGAGCTTTTGTGATTTATATCTTTTTGAAAAGAAGAGTTATTTTTTGCTAGATTCTAAGCACGGATGGTTTTTGTTACAATACTGTTCTTAATTTCTGAACTAGTTTTGATGTATCAGCATGAACATTAGGTTGCATGAGAAACTATGTTGAATGTGGTATTGATGGAAGAAGAATAGTTTAACGATGTAAATTATAGTATGTTAGGACACATCTGTGTATTGAGTTTAATTTCATTTTAAATGATAGAAATTCGAGTGGAATACAATTTTAGCGTGGCTTTTCCTCACTTCAATTTTTTGGCTAAAAGTAGGTTTAACCATTGGTATGCACAACTCTATTTTAATCCCCTTTGATATGAAATTGTTAGAGATTTTGGAATAGGTGTTGTTGATAAGAGCGCCAAGCAATTTAATAGAAATAGGATTTCATTTCATAGTCCTTTAAGTAGTTTTGGATCAAATGTTACTTGAGACTGTTGTCCTTAGTTTATGGTGTTGATGAAGAGTTGTTAACAGTGAATAGATGAATCCCTTTTCCACTCTCAGAAACTTTTGTTTAAGAAACAAGTACTTGAAGAATCAATGAAGAACCAATGAATGTGGGTATGTTCCCATGAGTGAAGGAAACTCCACTACAACAACGATAGACGCTAGAATTATTTTGGAGAGCAAGTGGAAACCCTTGACAATGAGGATAAGATTCTTACGTGTTTCACTTGACAAAGTAGGACCCAAAATTTAATTCATAGGCTAAACTAGACACCCTCTATTATGATGATTTTATCGACCATGAGAAGTTTGATTTATGAGTAGACTAGCTTGAGTCCTACTTCGATTTCTATGGGTGTTCTTTTCAAAAGTTGGCTTTTTATCTTTGCTAATATTAACTCTCTTGCACTTGAATTGTTGGAGTGCTTATTTTTGAGGCGGGAGCAAAATGTTATACAAGGACATTTTAAGAGAATATATTGTCAAAAAGTCTATACTATGGGGTATGAAGATGGGTGGAGAAAAGGGCATGAACTATGCCAAGGTAGGTCACACTATGGCTGAGTACAGGTAGGTCACACTATGGCTACTATATTCACAAAACAAACCCTAATTATTAGCATTCTATTTGAAGAATTATCAGTCGAGGCTACATTTCAGTATTTTCAATGGATTTTGGCTCTTTTCTTTCAAAGAAATAGGCCATATAAGTGGATTTGCTATAGCTATTGTTTAAAAAAATAAATTGCCCAATGAAGGGGAAGCCTTCCCGTTTACAAAAGGGAGGTCATTCAAAAATCAATGAAAAAAGAAGAAAATGTCAAAAAGGTATCATCTTGAAGTTTAAGTCTTTAATGCGATCATTACTAAATAAAGTGTCAAACTAGAAAAAATATATATTCAAAACTTAATCCAGAAATCATTTTGGACAAAATCATTTTGTTCATGGGTAAAGGTGACTACATCCAGACATGTTCTAGCCATTGGGGCCAACCAATAATTTAGAGTAAAATTATTCCTTAATGGCAATGTTGGATTGGGACAGATAATAGAGTGATGACTAATGGTGATGTGCAGGAGAAATTGTTCCCTATTTGCATAAAGTTTAGCAAGAATTGTTCAAAGCCATTGTAAATCCAATGACTCAAAATAATCTAATCTTCTCAAGCAGTATTAAGATGATTTATTTGGAGATCACTCATCGGTAACGATAAACTGTTGTGTCCAGTGATTCCCTTATATATATATTTTTAAGTCATCTTCTATGAATATGGGATTGGGGTATCATATACATTGGATGGGCTCAATAATTTTTCACTCATTGAGGATGGTGTTGGAGTGAAAAGTGGTGGGTTGCATTAGGTAGTCGACAACCAGCGTAAAACTTGTCGAAAAAATAATGACATGAATCCTTTTGACCATTGTGTAAGTGTTAGGGCGTCCCCTGGAAGCGACGTGCTGTATGTCCTGAATACAGTGAAAAGTGTTCAAGGGCCACTACACTGGCGTTCGAGTGTAGTGTCAAGTAAGCAAAAGTTCCCACATTATAGACAGATGTGGGTGAAGAAGTTAGTCTATGAAACTAATATTATGATAGGATCATAAAATATAGGTACTGTAATTAGTAAATTGATGGAACTAGTTGATATTATGATTTATAGAAAGATAAATATCTTATGTATCTACGAAACTAAATGGGTTTGAAAAAAAGCTAAAGAGATTGATAACTTAAGTTTTAAACTTTGGTATTCTGGTAAGAGTCTCACTAAAAATAGTGTAGGTGTAATTATGGATAAGAATTTGAAAGATAATGTCGTAAAAATTATTAGAGTTGAAGATAAAATTATAGCCCTTAAAATTATTATTGATACTAAGATTTTTAATAATATAAATGCTTATACTCCTCAAGTAGGTTTAGATATATAATCCAAAGATAAATTCTGGAATAACTTAGAAGAATTAATACAAATGATACCTATTAAAGAACGAATTTTTATTGGAGGAGATTTAAATGGACATGTCGGTAGAGTGGTAGAAGATTTCGGAAATATTCATGGTGGCTACGGCTTTGAAGTGACTAATGAAAAAGTAGAGCCATATTAGATTTTGTTTTAGTGTATGATTTTGTTATTACTAATATTTTTTCAACAAAAATAGCTAATGAAAAAGTAGAGCCATATTAGATTTTGTTTTAGTATATGATTTTGTTATTACTAATATTTTTTTCAACAAAAATAGATGAGCATCTTATTAATTATAAAAATATTCCAAGTGAGGTTTTATGTACCCAACATCGATTATTAGTTCTAGATTTTGCGATAAACAGTTATAAAATAAGGAATGTTATGATTCATCATCGTAGTATTAGATGTGATACCTAAAAGACATAAAGTTATTTTTATAAGTAAAATTCAAGATTTCAAAATTTCGGAATTTCATAAAAGAAGCAAATGCTATGTAGGATAAAGTAATAAATACTATTAAACAAATGACAAAAGATGTACTTGAAAAATCAAAGGAAAAAATTTCTATAAGTAAGAATATTTAGTGGTGGAATAATAATGTGCATGAAACGGTAAACTATAAGAAGTTATGTTATAAAAATTTGTTTAAGTATAAAAGCTTAGAGAACTGAGAAAAAAATCAAACTGCCCACAGTGAGTCTAAAAGAATAATCTGTGATGCTTTTAATTATGCTTTTAGTTATCTTTATAATAGATTAGATACTATGAAGGGTGAAAAATATAGGTATAGTCTAAAAGAATAATCTGTGATGCTTTTAATTATGTTTTTAGTTATCTTTATAATAGATTAAATACTATGAAGGGTGAAAAATATACGTGTAGATTAGCCAAACAAAAAGAGAAGAAGAGTGAAGATTTAACTCCAGTGTATTAAAGATCAAAATAAAAAAAATATTTTTCTTAAAAAAAGATATTCAACATAGATAGATGCGTTATTTTGATAAGCTTTTAAATGAAGTTTCTAAAAATATGATCGACCTTAGTGATCCTTATCGTTAATAATTATAAAATGTTTTATTTTTACCGTAGCATTAGTAAAAAAGAAGTTGAGAAGACTTTAAAGAAAATCAAGGATGGAAAGTCTGTAGGACTTGACGATATCCCAAATGAAGTGTGAAAATATTTAGGAGATTTGAGAGTTTCCCGGCTTACTAAAATCTTTAACATTATCTTAAAAACTAAAAAGATGGCTTGAGGAGTGGAGGAAGAGTATTTTGGTCCCCTTTTTTAAGAATAAAGGTGATGCACAAGAGTGTGCAAATTATAGAGGAATTAAGTTGATGTGTCATACTTTGAAATTATTGAAGAGGGTAATTGAACATAGGTTAAGACATATTACAAAGAGTTCTCAGAATCAATTTATTGGGAGGTTTGATGGAGAAGTTCAGAGATAATAAGGAGGATCTATATTTGATTTTTATTGATTTAGAAAAAGCTTACGATAAAGTTTCAAGAGATATCCTTTGGAGAGTTATTCAGAAGAAAGGAGTTGATATGACTTATATTCAAGTCATTAAAGCTGTGTATGCTAGAGCTGGTACTTTTGTTCGAACTGAATGAGGATTGACCAAATATTTTCTTATTTCAGTTGGATTACATTAGGGATCGACTTTAAGCCCTTATATTCTTGCTTTAGTTATGGATAGTCTTACTGGATATTTACAGGAGGACGTACCTTGGTGTATGCATTTTGCTGATGATTCTTGGATAAGACGAGAGAAAAATCTCAAGAAAAACTTGAATTATGGAGGTTTACGTTGTAGACTAAAGGCCTTCATTTGAGTATAACTAACACTGAATACATGAAATGTAAGCTATGAATCAGAAATATCGAACTGATAGTGACAGAAGTTTAACTTTGGGTGATCAAATTACTAGGTGTGAATGATTTAGATATCTCGAGTCCGTTGTTCAAAGCGATGGTGATGCGATGGTGATATAAATATAAATGGGGATGTTAATAGTAGAGTTCAAGTTGGTTGGTTAAAGTGGAGGAATGCTTCAGGCCTATTGTGTGATAGAAAAGTAATGATTGAAATTATTTAAGATGGTGTGAGAATTGCAATGCTCTATGGCGCTTAATGTTGGCCTTTAAAAGAGAAGCATAATATTAAAATAAGTGTTGCTGAGATGAGAATGATTAGATGGATGAGTGGCTTTACACTTAGAGACAAGGTGCGAAATAAATATATCCGTGATTGGG